GTGCATATACACCGCTGCTTTAAAATATGCACTCGTAAATCTTCTGAAGTTGAAAGATCGAAAAGATTGCGCCAATAAAGACCCTTAAAATCCTTCAAAAACTTGTTGTGTAGGATTTCATCCCATAGAATTTATTTATTTTGTTAAAAAAAAACTACATTATTTTCTGATGAATCTCATCTATTTTTTAAAATCGCCCTTCGTCCTAATAAATTGGCTAGCTTGCATAGTACTCGTGGAAGCAACAACAGACCACAAACACTGTAAATTGTTATTATCTGGGATACAACGATATACATTTGTATTTTTCAAAAATAATCGATTCCTATTGTTTAATTACCGGTAATCCTATGGAGGTAAGGGGGTAACTCTAATGTAAATCTTATGGATTTTTAAAAAGGATCGATATTATAAATGTTACAGAAAAGGAGGATAGTAATAAAACCTGAATTGTGAATAAATGTTGATCATTGTTTAAAGTCTCACTTGCCTTTTACATTTTTAAGGACACCCTCCACATTAGAGTTTAACTTTGTGATAATTATATGTAGTTAGAGTTTTCTGCTCTTAGATCTAAAATCCATAAAATGCAATTGAAAACTACAGGGTTTTTTTTACTCAGTTTGTAATGCATTCAAACATGCTTAAAATTTATTTAACATAAGCAACTGAACACTTTATTTAAATGTATTTTCTTGATTTAAGTAAGCAACACTAATTTCTATTCGCCCTTTCCTTGGAGTAAATTGCGGGGACCCAAGTTGTAAATGATAAACTCAATATACATGTACGCTGTTTATACAACTTTTTGAATATCTGAAAGAACATTTTTCATCAGATAATAGAGAATCCTTAACATGTATTTTGTATTGAATAGATTATGCTTATCTTCCTTGGGTTTGTCACGCTCATCAATCACAAAGTCAGTATTATTTTTATTCTAAAATCGCGGACATTGATTCAGAGCCTATAGTTTCACTCTAGCAGTATCTACATGTATGATTCTGACAATGCTGCATCGCGTTGTCTGGTTATAAGGCCAATATCTTATTGGAGTGTCAGAAGTTGGAATATTTTCACCATATGTTTCTTAAGCCTCCTGTTAATGTGTTATTTGATCATCATGAATCCTGCACTTTAGAAACAAACAAATAAACAAACAAAAAGAATTATGTTGGAAACTGTAGAAATACTCCTGCCAAATATATATGTAACTGGTGTTTCGGTATTAATTAAAAATGATTAACTGATATTTACAAATCGCCTGTTTTGCTCTTTCTAATTATCTCTGATCCTGCACAGATTGAAACTGTATGTTATAAATTTGTTCTCTTTAATCATTTCAAACAAGAACATTTAAGGGTAACATCTTTTATTGCCGAACCACAACGATGAGCATCAGCAAATTATTCTCCACATCATAAAATGAACCGATAGGCCGACGGACAAAAGCCAGATCACGACAGAACTTGACTTTCTCTGTTGCAAATGATAATAAACCGTGAAATTAAGTAGCGCAAACTAACCCTTTCATGTTCACAGTCCCGCCATGTTTTAATGTATTTAAATTGTACATAAAAAATATTTTTCAGGCAGATTGAAAATCTATTTATTCGATGGATTAGAACTTTGCAAGTTAAATGCATAGTATACTTATGGCTTTAATATGGGATCGGTAGCCTGAAGTTTCAGTAGCAGGTGCTATGGGGATTAACTAAAAAAGAGAATCCAAACATTTAAATTCTTGCTTTCTACAATACACAGATTATATGATTTACTAGAATATAGTGAAGAATATGACCTTAAATGCGGGGGCATTCCTAATCAGTCTTATGAATAACAATAGGATATTTCCTTCTAAATATGGCTAAAAGGCAAACACAGTTCAAGTGCAATCTTACTCCTACATTTGAATGAATCATCTGGAATGTATATTTGCATGTTTATCAGATTATTATTTAAATTGGACGAAACAAAATTCTCCATATGCGAGTCAAATACTTCGTCTTGCACCATAAACATTAAAGAAATAAACAATTAAATGAATGATGATCCAATCTCTCTCTCTCTATAAATATATATAAATATATCAATAAATATGTAACATTGAGTTGTGAAATTTCAACGTATATTTTTTTATATATCAAATATTGCACATACCGATATTTTTTGTTAGAACGGATATTTTTGAAGATTTTTGGATACACATGTAGCCTTACATTGACATTTTGTTAAGATAATAAGCTGTTGTTTTTATTTTTACTTACTATAATAATGTTAAAATGACAGCAATTCAGACAAAATGATGCTTTGTAAAATGAAATTACATTTAATATAGCTGTAATGAGGCGATTATTTCATAAAAATTCATTTCCACTCAACTTTGCAAAAGAGCAAGACCAGAGGTATCAAACTTGCATGGTTTCATAGTTGCTTATGGTTTCTATGTCATTTTTTTTTCATTTAATAACTACTTTCACACAATGTAGTGAATGTACCTATATGCGTATCAAAACCAGTTTTTTGTTCACATTATGATATCTGATATTTGTCAATAACAAAACACGCAACACACGTGTACACATTGAATGCCTTGCACAAACGACTTAATTAACGAACATTTCATATGCAAAGAGCACTTATTGGAGACAGATGTGATTATTCAGGTAACATTCCCTATTGACTTATACCGCTAAATGTCTTTACAATTGAAACTTTTTCAAAAGTGTCACCAACTGACAATTTATGTGTCTGTTCCAATTAGCGACAGAGGAGGATATGGAATTAATTAAAGCCAAAAACATAAATCGAATGATACGAACTAGGTCATCATAGACAAATTTAATTCACATTTGATTTGAATACAGAGTATTTATAAATCAGAACGTATCACATTGGCTGGAATGTTTATTGTTTAGATAGGTAAGAACCACTCGACGCCTGTCCCAATATTACAACACCTATCCAATTCAAAACTATTAGAGGACTGAAATTTACACGGCCAGATAGTGGGGGGTCTACACGAGAACAGGTATCTGTAAAAGTATTAGTGTGTATAGCAGGATTTACGAACTCTTCAATTCGACTTATCTCTTCTTTCGACACCTTCAAATTAGATGGTTTCCAAGTTAAAAGTATATTTCAATATGGAGGACAGTAAACGTATCATATAAAAGTACTGCATGTTGTTTAATAGTTGCAGAAGTCTTTGCCCATTGAAAAATTGTTTGCATTGGAAAAATATACGATTCAAATATCATTTATTAATTACTTTTACAAATTTTAGAACATAGATAAAAGCTATGAAGATATGCATCATATGTTCATTGTGTAACATTTTTGTGCGAAGGATTGAAATATTTATTAATAAGTATTACAGATTTTTTTGGATGTAGGTAAAGACTATAAAGAGATAAACATTGAATGTCCAAACAGATTGGACACAACAAAAATAGAAAGAATAAACAATTCAAAAATAAATCGGAAAAAAGACATTTTCTACGTTAGATAAACATATTATTTTAACATTATGGAGAATATGTAATGGTAAAACTGGACCTGCACTCACAAAGCTTATAAGATTAAATTAGAGAACTGTTTTTACAATGACACACATTATAGATGTACCCGGAGTGGAACTCCCCAAACTGTTGAATCATCTGTCTGTTGCCTTTGCCAACACTGCTACAAGCAACAGCCATTACAAGGTTAAGATCTGAAGCATTATTGTAATTCTGCCTCATCTTCCTCATCCAAAGACAATATTTACAAGCTAACTCATGTATGAGTGATCACAAAGATGAACAATCTAGACAATAGGGAATTTCATATCAGGTATATGCATAAGAAACCGTCCACGTTACTTTATAGATCAAAAAAAATTTTCATTTGAGTAAGCGGAAATACGTGTCGAAACAAGGCTTTATCATTTTTCTAGTTATCATAATGTCCGCTGCTTTAATTTGCATTATGGTCATACTTATTGTACTGTAAAATATACAACTTTTTCAACAATCAATAATTAAGTCAACGCTCGAAAATTTGGAAAAGCAGATACATGTAAAAAAGTTTCTTCGTTAGAATTAACAAAAAAAGTTCTGCTTCCGAAAATTAAACTGCTAGAAAGGTAAGCTGCAGAAATGTTTCTTATAGGAAGCACTGTTTGAAAGAATTTGGTTTTCTTCTGTTACCTCAGTGGTAACAAAAAATATTTCTACAGTTTGGGACATAAAGCTTACTGAATTGCCTTGTTAACCCAACAACCCACTGTTTATTGCATACTGTACCAATCCTACATACGATCGACCCTCCATAAAACAGAATGGGAACCTCGCCAAAGGGTAACCGGACCTGTTGTCTAACTTGTCTACCGACCCTTCCAGACGAACCGGGATCAAAATGGGAGTGGGATGGGGTGGGGTGTGCGGCTTATGACAGATCTAGAGTATTAGATTATTATTAAATTTACATTTACAGACGACAAGGACCTGTGTCATCAAAACCGTGATAAAACATAGACCATCTTCTTAAAATTTTTCATTGTTTTTGTAACGATTATCAACTGTGTGTTAAATCTTATTTAGTCATTTCAATTAAGGTCATACGCAACGTACATTACCTGTTGGTAGTTTTTCAAGAAATTCTTAACTTAAAATGAAGGCCCCCTAAGATGTTCTTAGGCCAAAAATCGGAATATATTACCAGGGGTTTTGAAAAGATAACATATGATGAAAATTTGGCGTTTTTCTATGCAAAATATACCAAAATCCTCAAACGTAATTTTAGCTGGTATTTCTTCCAAATTTTTTTTACAAGAGTACTACAGCAATAGATGATGAAACTCTAGAGTTTTCAGCATATGAAACCAGCCTTTTTTCTTGGATTTTTGTTAAAAATCTAATTTGCATAGTTGTTTGTAGCTGAGTTACCTCTCTTTGAAGAAAGAAATGCAATACACCCATACATACAACAGAAAGCACTGAAAGTTGTTGTACATGCATTTATGTTTTCATATTCATAAAATGATTCTGAAGAGACTGAATAATTTTTGAATTTCCTGTCACTCTTGCTTTTCCTCCTGTTTTTTCTGATAGCAGAGATCTTACCCCGTTTTCTTTGTCTCTCTGGTAAGCTAATAAAATGTGCTGGAAATGAAGACCTGTTTCAGCAATTTTGTTTACAGTAAACTTGGATAAAATCTTATTATCAATAAGATTTTGCAATGATTGCATGTTTCTCATTTTCATCATCAAAAAATTCAAATTATTTACAACAAATTCTGTAGAAAAACTATGCTTCATCATAATCTGACATGAAACTGACAAAGACAATAAAAGAGTTTGTAAGGCCAAGGCATCAGATTTGGCATCATGAGCATCATAATGAGTCACACACAGGTCCTTCAGCAAGTCCACTTGTTTATAACTCTTGCGGCCTGGGTAAAGTTCTCTAAATAGAGATAATGTGTCCACAAACCCACTTATGTGTTCTGACGCACTAATACCGATGGAACTCGACACATGCACTAGAACTCTAGAGTCAAACTTGGCATTATGAGCCACAAGCAATACTTTCCCAAATTTTCCAAGCCAGTGTATAAAATTGTTCACTGCATCTGGTGTCCTCATACACTGAACTTCATGTCCATTTTTGTACATGCAACCATTCTGTGTAGCAATACCAGACACAGCTGTGGCAGAAGCAGAAATTGGTTGAGTCAATGGCAAAACATACTGACAAAACACATCATCATTGACAGAGGCCCCGATCTGTGTTATTTCACAATCGTCACCTGCAAAACAAAATTCAATCCATGAGAATAGTAAAATAAATGACAGAAATTTCAATTTGAGTTATTTTTGTAAAACTGATAATTACCTAAACCAGTAGTTTCTAAGTCAAAATATACAAATGTGTATTGACCCTCAGTAATAGGAGTAGGTACAGGTTTGCTGAGAGGTGGAGGTATTTCCTTGATGCTGTTTGGATCAGTATTGTTGTTCATATCTGTGTCTGGTTCGTATGTTCTTCCTTCCCTCACTTCTGCTGACTCTTGTGATTTATGCTGGTCCATCTTTTTCTGTGCCCTTTTTTTCTTGTAAGTACTTGTATCTTCAGTTTCTTTAGTTCTCTTCCTTTTCAAGTCTATTTTTCTGGCTTTTGAAGAAGTAATTTCACCTGGGGATAATAGCAAGACCTCATTGACCTACAATGAAATTCAATGAAATGAAATATAATTGATTTGAAACTTTACAATTGCTTTTATGAAATAATAAATGAATATACAAGTTTTATACCTCTGTAACATAATGATGACCCAAATTTTTTTGGGCAATTGCAGCTGCAACACGGAAATCATTGCTTTCTGATCCTGAATAAAAGTTTTGTTTTGGAGTCTTGCTAGCAATGGTATTGTTAAGGCTTTCATTAGGTTGTGTACTGCCCAGGTCTACTAGTTTATCTGCCTGTGATATGTATAAGCTGAGTAGAGATGTCAAGTCACTCTTTAGATCTTGATTGTTCAGATATCTGTGATAAGGTAATTGCCAAGGTTTGTATGTTAGTGGTGAAGCTAAATATTTACACCAGGATTCACAGAAACTGTGATCACCAAAAACATGTCTTCCAATTGCCTCTAAGTTTTTCTTCATACCCGAGGGATCATTCTCATTTTGGGAAATGCAATATTTGAAACATTTTGACAGATGTTGAATTGTCTTACTATTCAATTCTTTGTAGTTTTTAGATTTTTTCAACTCGTATAGCTTATTTGTAAATTGTTTTAGAGTATGATTTCTATCACATTGCTTCTTTAGGGCCGGATTTACTTCAGCTCTAGCTCTCGCAACTGTTGTGGAATCGTTATCCATAATTATGTTTCCAACATGAATGTTGCTATCCTGAAGTTCCTTCATCATACCTGTTATGATAATATTCTAACATGAACAATAGAAAAAATCAAAATGATGTTCGCTGACTCATACAATCATGTGAGAAAATTTTGCTGTGTTTTTACATTTACATTGATCATGTTGATATTTTGTATAATACCAAGCATATCAGACTTTATACAAAAAACACTATACAATTATTTTACCTATACACATGTCTGGTTCCATTGCCTTAGAACTACCTGACCAATTCTTCCTGCAGTCATGTTCAGGGATATCTTTTTTTGTCCTCTCTGCCCTTTCACACACTCTGCAGAACTTGTTTCTTGTTGCATAGGCGATGCATTTTCCCGTCTCTTTACCTATCATTGCAGCATGTCCTACAATTGAGATGATTTTATTTGATTTTGATCATGGTCTTATGGCATAACAATAGATATATAATACTTGGGTTTTTACACATCCATTCTTCAAAGTCATTCCAATATACATATATGTTATGAAAAAATCTTTATATATATATATCTGCAAATTACTAATTTTTCAAACCTGACAAACTTGAATAAGATCGCCCTGAACCTCTTTTCTGCCATCCTCCATCGAAAGACACTGAAAAGTCATCATTGCTGCAAAATCAAAAATGAAATGAAAGAAATAATGTTTCAGATTGTAAATTGAAAAAATAAATAAAATAAAAATAAATTATTCAAGAAATAAATGCACAATATTTTGATGAATACTGCATGCATTACTGATAATTACAGTTCTCATATTTATATAGCCAGAGATATTTTATTATTTGCCTAGCAATAGTTTATTAACAAAATTATATACACCATTTCCTTTCAAATGTGTGGGTCATAACAAAGAAATATGAGGACAGAATCTATCAAACACTGGTCCTGTACAAAGATTTATTAGTATTACCCAATTGATTCCTGCTCTGCATTAGCAAACTCTTTACAACTTTTTTTGGCAACATCTTCAACTGCTCGACCAACTTGTCTTTCAGAGGTTTTCAAAGAGGTCTTTGATAGTGGTGGGATGTTCAGTACACTTAGGAGCATAGATAATTTTTTCTCGCCAATGCCTGCATGGAGCATCCCTGCAATGTAATAAAAATTCTCAAGATACCATAATAAATATAACTGTATTCTAAGATGATACTTTGATCATATGAAGATGAATGATAAAGTCAGTATTCAATAATTACAAACCTAGTGCAACTTTTGTGTTCACATCAAATGCTCGTATCCCATTATTGTCCGAGCGAGAATGGCGTTTTCCTGTGGGAACATAGTTTACTGTGGTACAGAAATTACACTTGATATGTAATAAGGAACCTAGTCCATATCTCTGTTCACCACAAATGTCTCTCAAATTCAAAGATTGTTTACATTTACAACAACCCTCTATAAGTTTATTCACAATAAATTCCAATTCAACAATTCTTCTTCCTGTGTTCCACTGTATGACATGTGATGTATCTTCGTCATCAATAAGCACTGGAACTACTTCCTCTTCACAGTCTCCGTGTATTGATAGATCGTAGGCATAGTTATGCTCCAAAATGTGGATTGGATTTGGGAAATCATCATCTGTCATAAATTTACCACAAATAACCAAGGACATAAAAGAATGAGCGACACAAAGATATCTAAATGCTTAAGAGTGTTTTCTTAAACTTCAATCAATGAAGTATTTAGCCCTTCTTTGTTGTTTACTTATACGTCTATTATACGATATTTGCAAGTACACAAATCAAGATAACTTACTTGGAATAGGCAGTGGATCGTCAGGATCAGCTTGAGAATTTGTAGAAGGGACCTCAACTGCCACATTCTTCTGCCTATTACATTTAATCGATGTTATTTTACTTTGTTTTCCTTTGGAGATAAATCGCCCTCCTTTGTCGCGAATTTTCTCCATCATAAACAAAGATATCCTAAAACTATCTCTACGTACGAAAGAGCTCTCAAGGGACGTAATCGAAAGTAAAAATCGAACCCAATTCGGGAAATATTACGGAATCATTATTGGAACTCTTTATTTCTAGGAGATAGAAAAAATAAAGTAAAAACTACGTTGCGTCTGTCCTTAACGGAAAACTCGCAGCAAAAAAAAACATCTACTAATATACTGAGCGGCAATTTTTGGTAACATGTGTTTATAAAGCAATTTAATTATCTTTGTACATAAAAAAAGAAGAAAAACAGGTTATTTTGATGCTGAATAAAAACCAAGGTGCGATGTTAAATGTTTCATGAAACTTAAAAAAAATTGATTCTGAATCAAATGTATAGGAACGATGAAATGTTTCAGAATCAGGTCCATCTGCCTACATCACAGATCCAACAACTTAATCAAAGGACTAGATAAAACTAAGATTGACAAAGGTACACTAATCATGGCGGTGTCAATGTGAAATAGCCTTCATTACACATAAAAGCATACTCAGATAAAGAGAAAAACTTAAGGTAAATCATAAATAAACCGACTTTAAAGTTATGCAATCGTTGTTTCGAGAGGCAATTATTCTTGACACAGTGTTCGTATAACATCTGTCGTGAGCAGCTTTCAGACCACGCCTTGCAGCTGCGTGCACTTCGGCAACGTCTTGTGTGACTGAGCCACTTATTCTAGAAGGCCTTGTACCGAAGGTCTGGCTTGCTTCCCACATCACTAAATGAAGTTTATTTATTTTTTAAAGAGAGAGATTTTTCTTGTTGAAGGCAGACTTGTAACACAAGGATGGATAGTCCCCGGTATCAAAATAATCCAACTTAATTAATAACAATAAATGCATGTTTTTCTAAAGTAATGCTATAAATTACTTGCTATAAATTATATATATATATATATATATATATATTATTACGCATGTAACATAGATAGATATAGATAGATACATATGTACATAAAGGGGGGTTTTCATTCTAACGATGTATATCAACCAGCACTAAACAGTAACTCATGAATTAGCATTTTTATTATAAAGTTCTAAAGATAACTAGGATTAAAAATCTCTTTTATGCCCCTGGATCGAAAGATCCCGGGGGTATATTGTTTTTGTCCTGTCTGTCTGTTTGTCTGTTTATCTGTTTGTCCGTTTGTCTGTCTGTCTGTTGTCAACTTTAACCTTGCCCATAACTTTTGATTGGTTGGAGCTATGACTTTCATATTTCACATGTGTATTCCTTGTGACAAGACCTTTCTTTGGGTACCATCATATTTGACCTTATGACCTTGACCTTGGAGTTTGACCCACTTTTGCAAAATTTTATGAGACTTTAACCTTGGCCATAACTTCTGAACAGTTAGTGCTTAGGGTTTCAAACTTCACATGTGTATTCCTTGTGACAAGACCTTCCTCTGCATATCAACCACTTTGACCCTTTGACCTTGACCTAGGAGTTTGACCTACTTTTGAAAAACTTTAACCTTGGCCATAACTTTTGAACAGTTAGTGCTTAGGGTTTCAAACTTCACATGTGTATTCCTTGTGAAAAGACCTTCCTCTGCATATCAACCACTTTGACCCTTTGACCTTGACCTAGGAGTTTGACCTACTTTTGAAAAACTTTAACCTTGGCCATAACTTTTGAACAGTTAGTGCTTAGGGTTTCAAACTTCACATGTGTATTCCTTGTGACAAGACCTTCCTCTGCATATCAACCACTTTGACCCTTTGACCTTGACCTAGGAGTTTGACCTACTTTTGAAAAACTTTAACCTTGGCCATAACTTTTGAACAGTTAGTGCTTAGGGTTTCAAACTTCACATGTGTATTCCTTGTGACAAGACCTTCCTTTGGATACCAACCACTTTGACCCTTTGACCTTGACCTAGGAGTTTGACCTACTTTTGAAAAACTTTAACCTTGGCCATAACTTTTGAATGGTTGGAGCTAGGGCTTTCATACTTCACATATGTAATCCTTGTGACAAGATCTTCCTTTGGATACCAACCACTTTGACCTTGACCTTGAAGTTTGACTTTTATTTAAAAAACTTTAACCTTCGCCATAACTTTTGAACAGTTGTATCTAGGTCTTTCAAATTTCACAGGTGTATTCCTTGAGACAAGACCTTTCTTTGGGTATCAACATTTTTTATCTTTTGGCCTGGATTTTGACTTGCATTTGAAGAAACTTTAACCTTCGCCATTAGCTGCCATATGGGGGCATCAGTGTTTCACAAACACATCTTGTTTACTATTGTGTTTGCCATATTTTTCACCCCTTGGAGCTAATGGTAAAATTTTAAAATTTGCTTTTTCAGAATCAGGGAAACACCTGACGTTTAGGAGGAACAAAACTTTTTTTTTTTTTAGTTTTCACGGGGCCATGTAACACATTCACTCCAATTAGACCCTGACGATTCTTATGACTTTTCCATATGAACTATATACGGCTTCTGTTTATTTGAATTTTCTCAAGTTCATAACATTAGACAGATACAATAAAACCCTTCAGTTAGTATAACAAGCACCTGATAAAACGATAAATATTCCAGGTCAGACTAAGACACTTCCTGGAGCAAATCTTGAGCATGAAAAGCTGATAAATTATGTTGTAAATGAAGCTTGAAAAAATATTCCTTGAAAGAAAGAAGAGATAATGTGTATAATAGGCTAATTTGTGATTTTGTGAGAAACGTGTTATCTTATTGTGATCGAAGCGATCTAGAACTATAATTTTATGATGAACCATTCCATTCGTGCTGAAGGAACATGGCGAGAAGACAGTATCATGAATGTAAGCTAATCCAAAGATGAAGACAGAAATCTTGCACACCAATTGTTCATTACCTCAGCAATAATGGGTTTTCCTTATATGTTTGTAAATTCTTATGTATGTTATTTTCCAACATACAGTATGACTGGGTGGTAAAGTATGACGCTTTGGTTTAAATAAAAAAAAATATGTAGTCAACATTTTTAAGCTATTTATAAACCAAGTAAGTTTTTTACCGAAATCTATTTAAAAAAAAAAGATTCACGTGTTTCAGATTCATGACGTTACAATGAATTGGAGGACTATTTATTATTGTTCTGTCAGTTTAATACGTACAGCACGAAGACACGGTAGATAGATGTAGAAACGACTTCAGACATACCTAACCTAAACTCGACACTTCTCACTGTTCTTAGGCGAAGATGAATAAAAAAAAAATCCTCCTCTTTATCAACAAAATGAAAACCGACAACGTACAACAATTCTACAATCAAAGAGTTGAGCACTTGATAAAAACTAGCTTCAGAAACATCAGAATATGCAATTTCCTTGCTGCTTCATGAGAGGTTTTTGAACATTTAGCAAGTGCAAAGTTGGAAAAAAAAAATCGGGCGAAAATTTTGCTGTATCGTAGATACAAATGTTGAAATGAATAAGAAATGAAAATTTCCACAGCAGAATTCTGTGTATCTTTTAATAACATATGTGTGTGAAATATGCTGGCAATTATACAGCTTGAAGAAAACCCTTCCTTTATGTAAATTAGTTTAGAACAGGTTTATCATACATATACAGAATACTTAAAGATGTAAACAGACATTGTGAGCTAACAGTCAATTAAATAGGATCGATCAACTTTTCATGGTGAAGAAATTTTTTTTAAGCAAATGCCTCATGCATAAAACCACGGGAAGACACATCTCTCTTTGCAGAAAGAATGACATTCTAGATCGTTTGCTTACAAACCTTTTAACATAGTCCTCAAAACCATATACCTATATATACCTATATATATATATATATATATATACATATATATATATATATATATATATATATATATATATATATATATATATAATATTTTAGTGGAGTGTGTGTAAATATATACAGATTCTGCAATTAACCAAATTTGGTTTCAGTTACATTTTTTTACCCGCTTGAACACTTCTTTGTTGATTAGAAATTATTTACAGATAGGCCCCATTATCTTAAGGTACCTCTTCTAATCTAAATCAGCACAATAACAAATGCTGTCAAGATACACATGTATATGACATGCTTCTTTTCAGTAATAACCATTGACTTTTTCTTTGTCACTGTTTATACTTATTTTGAGGTCAGTGTACCGGTATATTTGACCAAAGGACGGCTAACATGTTGATTTGGTACGATTTGATTTAGTGAATAAATATGTATTGAGGTGTGTAAGTATTTCATTCTAGCGTATGTAATAATAGAATTATATTGCTAATGTCAATAATACTTATGTAGACTTTCGACATTTTTATGGTCTGTCCAGCGCCATTGGCGTAAGAGATGTAACAATATAACAAAAGACATCATGCCCACTGGTGCATTGAGCTTGGTCAAATTGGCCTTTCTATTGCGTGTTAATTGTTTGCCAGATTAACTCTCTCACCTGTTGACTGTAACCCACCTGGGGTTTTACCTGTATGAATGTTCTTACCTTTCCCACACTTCTGGGTCTCGTCGCACTGACATTTTGGACCAGCATCCACACTGATACACAGACAGTCCCCACAAGGATTTCTCTGCTCACACGCCTCAGTGAACCTCCCGTCCAAGGACACGCCTCTGATTAAGCTTCCACGGACGGGCTCACATGAACAATTTCCATAGATAACATTTCGTATCTCCACAGCTAAATGAGGGTCAAACATTACCGACGGCAAGGCCAAAGTTTCCAAATGTTTCATGTAGGAGTCTGGTAGTCCCCCAAAGTAAACGTCACTGTTGTTAGCTAAATTTCCAAAGTAAAAATCCGATCCATATGAGACATTCTTTGACGATTCCTGGTCCACAGAAAATGTGGTTTCCATCCGGTTTCTTTGAATTGTTACCCGATGCCACTTGTTGTCGTTAAGGTTTTGTCCGACCTGAAATTCCACACTTCCATCATGACCATCCACGATATTGATCCTCAACTGAGCTATACCTCCCTGAAGGGAAAGTTCAAAAAAATCATACGAACCCCCATCATCAGTGTACATTAACAGCCCCGTTGCCTGTGTTGTCTTGAACTCAAAACTCAAAGAAGCGTTGATACAGGCATTCCACTTTGGGTACTGGGCAAAAGATTCTTTGTCCTTAGGGGCACGGATATAAATCCCCCTCACACAATTCACAACAACACATATACAAAGTATGCCAATAGAGAGGCCAGACATGGCTCCCATGCCGGTAACTTTCTGAATGATTCCTTTTTCCACCTTACACTAGTACTTGACAGTTCATAGCATTATCCTGGTGTCTATGCACTCGGCTGCATTATATGCAATTCTTTCCCCACATTTTGGTGGGCGATTAATACACTGCACTGTGCGCTAACAGGTAAATGTTGATCCAAATCTGAGGTTTCTTCGTACTACACACCAGACCGGCTTTTGTCGTCAGCCCTGTGTCGATCAACTGTGTCAAAATAAGGAAGGTTTAATTTGAATAAACGTACACATACAGGTAAAATTATTCCCCGTAACCTCAAAGCTGGGCGCCTAGGTTAATACACTTTATCATTTTAAACCAATATTGAAAAAGTGAATTTTCTCAAGTTGTTTCGCTTAAAATTTTTTGTTTATTCAAAATTTAGAACTAGTGAGTAAAGACAATGAGTGAGATTAAATGCAACGTAATTTGAAATCTCAACATGAATGCTTTTGTCGGTAAGATTTAGACGTAGGCGAGTAGTATCGACAGAATTAAAATGAATTACTTAATGTTCCACAGTTTGTAAGAAATATTTGTGAATGAAGATTAAAACCGTCGCTTTGCGTGTAATAGCATGGGGTTAAGCTGGAATACGTAACAACTTGAATGAATCATATATTATGTACGATGTTTTATTTTATTTTATTTTTTTTTTTGTCAATGTCTACTACAATAAATGGGTTAGAAATAGCAAAACTTACATGGTCTGTAAATGTTCGGAATTCTTCAGTTGCTGGGTGGTTATTCTATATATCACGTCCAGCTGCAAGAACAAAATGGTACAATATAGATCCACTATACTCAGTACTAATTCCTACTAATTAAGCGCACGTGGGCGCACGATAGACCGTAAGTGATCGTCGAAATCTTTTTACGATCCCTTACTTTCATTTGCCAACGTTAGAGCACATTCAGATCTAGAATTTTGAAGACTGAATGTTATGCCTTTAGATCTATTTTTGTTTACTATTTAATTTCATCAGAAATATATGTGTTTCGAGGGTAAATTACACTGTTTTGCTGTCGAGCGTAGACTAGGCCAAGCTAAGTCAATCTGCGTTTATACAAGAATGGTAATGGCTGAGACATCCAAATGAACGAAATAAGATCAGGGTAGAGAATTAGCATCAGACGTCTGGAAGCTATTTCTTACAGGAGAGAATACATCTAAGATGTTTTACATAGGAATAATTGAAAGAAAAATTAACAACATTACCTTATCTACATAAATATCTAAGATATATACAGCGCACACCGAGCAAATCTTTTGGCTGATCCTCTTACCTCAAGCGCATATTGTTCGAATATTAATTAAGTTACACGCAGAGAAAGGCGAACTCCAGCTCCCAACTGTCTACAAACAATAAATTTTTAACTTCGAAGAATGTCTGTGTTTTTATAAGTATGTGTGCAAATGAATTTAGGATGTAATTGAAATAGAATGAACTTGACGACTCGAGTTGACGAGGTGATGGAATTTCCTGCTGCAGTTGCCAAAGTTCTTATCGCTGTGTTTCGTAAGCACACGAATTCATGTTGTTCAAGTTATGGCTGTGAAAGTGGTAAAGATGTGAAATTTTGCGGAATGTGAAATTCAAGTACTTGTTTTGCGTTATTCAAGTGCAAGTCTCGTCATTTTAATGACCGATGACCACAGTACAAAGGGCTACTTGAAGTTCTATTCATAACATGCATATCTCATTCCACCTTATAATTCTCAAATTGCTGTACAATTTAATAAATAATGTATTATGCAAATAATCACTTTAAAAATACTTGTGTGATATATGAATTTTATTTAAATTTTTTCTAATCCAAGTGCTTCTTTAAAGTAGAAAACTGCATTTATTTATTTTTTGTCAGTTTTTAAATACTAGTATATATAGCAAAATCAATTTACATTTTTTTCCTCTCTCTTAGCTGTACATACCTGAGGGCATTTTTGTTTGTTCAAGTTTTTTTGTGTTGACAAAGATGATTCATTAAGATACTTACACATCCTTACTAATCCCCTTTGATTTACTTTATAATAGACTGGAACAGCAAATACAGAACAGATGTTTCGCAGTCTTCAGTAAATCATCACTCCAACACTGTACTTATTATCTGATCACTTTGAAGTCAGATCATTACTGAAAGGATTCAAAAAGTGGTTGTAATGTTTTAGGAATAAATTGAACCTGAATCTTTAATAAATATATCATAACTTGATGTGTCCAACGAATAAAAAATCAGGATACTTTTTATAATAGATGAGAACTGCAAATCACTATAATAATAAAACGGTTTTACAAGCTGGTGACGATTGGGGAGGATCAATGTCCCCCTGTCTCCGACCCTCCCACAGCCCTCATTTCCCTCCTAATTAAACCCTCCCTTACAAATCCTTTTTCCAATTTTCCTTTCAAAAGGAAATCAAATGTACTGACTAAAAATTGTTAAAACAATCGTGACCGGTCATGATACACTAGTGGTAAGCCAAAATAATTCGTTTCTATAATAATTTTTTCAACCAATAGTATTATATAAACGTATGGCTTTTTTTAATTGAGGGTTACATTCCTGCTCGGTTGACAATGGTTTTCAAGGGGTGAAATTTTTCAAAGTTACCCTCAACTACATGCAGTATTTATTATACATCTATTGACTGGGTTCTCGGACAAATGCATTTAGTTGGACCCAAGAACCAAACTGTTTGCCTGAGGCCTAACGACCTCAGGCAAACAGTTTGGTTCTTGGGTCCAACTAAATGCATTTTGCCCGAGAACACAGTCAATGAATGTTTTGCTGTACCTTTTACCTTTTATTTTGACACATCCTGCGCTGGATTCCATGTTTGCGATAATTGATCAGATACAACTGATCCCACCTGCCGTGTGACGTTAAAAACGTCATAGCAGTCCAATATCTTATCGACAGGTCCAAAATCTCGCTAAGCGGTCCAAAGCGATTTTTTATTTTGAACCGCTCAGAAAAAAAAAAAAAAAACATTGGAAATGTTAGGCTTTTTTAAAAGAATTGTTAAAGGTATAACAATATACAATTACAAATAAAGATGAAGCTTGCGCATAGATTCCGAGCCGTCAATATTTCTATGGAATATTTATAACCCGTCGTTAAGGCAACTTTAACTGTTGCTACATGTAAGTATCGCACTGGAGAAATCCTATTTTTAATCGCTTGTCCATGCTTGAATTGGTCACTATTGATTTAAACCTATTACTATGTGGTGATGAAAATTTGCCTTTACAGATAAATAATAAGTATTTTTGCTGCTGTTCATAAATTTATTGACGAAACATGTAGATTTTCTTAGTTGATATGTTAAATTTTATTTGTATCATTCACAAGATGAAACACTTCCTTTAAGTTTGGCTTAATGGTGTCTTATAGGTCCTTAATGATGGTTTAATGGTTGTCTTTAAGTCACCATTAAGCACCTTTAAGCTACATTTAAGTAATAAATACACCACCATTAAGTAACCATTAAGCCATATCAAAGTCCTTAATGGATGCTTAAAGGTAGCTTAATGGTGGCTTAATGGTGGCTAATAGGTGCTTAATGGTAGCTTCTAGACAATCATTAAGTCACCATTAAGCCACCATTAAGCCAGACTTATAGGTGCTTAATGTCCAAACTCCATTAAGCTACCATTAAACCACCTTTAAGCCACCATTAAGTCACCATTACGCAGTCGATAAAACTGCTTTTACGGGTTAAATATTATTTTTATAATGATTTCTTCACAAAAATTATAAATGTCGAGTTTATACATTTGTTAATTCAGCGAAAATAATGTAAAAGAAAGAAAATTAAAAAAAAAAAATGAAAAAAAAAAGCATTCTCAACAGGGTTCGATCCCACGACCTTCAGATTGGAGGGCGAACGCTATAACTACTGAGTTATCGAGGCTGTTGAAATTGGTGTGAAATATAATACCTTTATTTTTAACAAAACTTGTTTGGAATGGTTACAGGTACCGTACATGTATTTTTTTTTCTGATGTTTATATTTATTAATCAATAATACGAATAATTATTTTTATATATATGTATATATTTTTAAAAAGAAATTTTGATAAAGTTTTCTATTGCGTTAATATTTCTTAACCGTGGACCGGAGTTCGGTGTGATGTTGTGAAACAACTTTTTGATTTTTAAGTAACTGAATTCCTCGTTCTGTTATTCGCCGATTTATAAACATGAAAAGATTGAAATTCCACAGATATAACAAAATTTTGTTATTAAAAAGGAATATATAATCGAAAGAGAACGATTGGGGAAAAAAAAAAACAGATATAGTTCTTATAAATATGCTGCAGATATTTACGATTTTTGACAATCTTTGCGTAACAATTTAGTTGTAAGATATTTTTGTAACATATCTTCAGTTTTATTTCTTTTTATATCATTATGGGTATCAAAATAATTGTCTTTTTGTGTACAATCATAATTTCTAATTTGTTAAATGCTTGCGTAAATTTGAAGTTTTCTAAAAAAATAAATCATCAAAATCTATCACTGTACGTTCCCGTGTATAGTTTCCTGTTAATTGACCGGGGACTGGTGGGGACACCTAATTAAGGTCTATTGTCTAACTAGTCGATATACTGTACACTGATTATTTTACCCAGTTTTCTCAATGTGTATAAATCTGGTCGGATACCCTGTTTAATCTGATCGGCTGCTCTTCTGAAAATTGACTTTGAAATAACAATCATTGAAGACCGACTATATTTTGATCAATTCTTACTTCTGGATTATTTTAAATAAATTCTTACTTCTGCATTATCTTAAATAAATTCTTACTTCTGCATTTTTTTAAAGAAAGGAAGAAATAATGGCACTTAACCATGAATTAATTCAAATTATTCATGAATTAATTCAAAGATTAGCAATATAATCTATACCTATATATTTTTTTTATATCTTAAACTTTTCTCTATTCAAAGAAAAATTAAAAGACAAAGATATTCCAGAGGAAAATGACTCTAATTACATTTCCTATGAATTCGGCAGTGGAACGTGGCTCTCCAAACACGACAGAAAAATATGTTGTTGTTTTTTTATAAATTAATATATATTATGTATTTATGGATAAAAATAATTTTAAAACAAGTATTCAAACAAACTGATTTTAGGGAGCGAAAATTTTAAGGCATTTGATGAAGTTGTTCTCAGTTCCAGAGTTTATACGCATTGACAAAGATGTTGGAAATAGCGAGAAAAAAATTATGAATTGAATAAGTATTTGCGGAAATGATACTGAAACAACCTCAAACTTAACAAGTTAGTTTAAAGACTTGATACTGGATGCGTTAAGGTGGTTTAATTAAGTTTGGACATTAAGTCACCATTAAGCTGCAGCTTAAAGGTGGCTAAATGGTAGCTTAATGAAGTTTGGACATTAAGCACATAGAAGCTGCAGCTTAATGGTGGCTTAATGGTGGCTTAAAGGAATTAACTTCTATAAGCCACCATTAAGCTACCATTAAGCCACCATTAAGCGATTGCTTAAAGATGGTCTATCGTCCTGTGATTTGTATCATTTTTCGTTAATTTGCATGACATATTGTATTATAAAAGGAGAAGAACTAGTAAGTTATTTTAGAACTTGTTTCCAATCCTTTTGATTTAACCAATAAAATATGTTCAAAACAAAACTGGAGAGCACGGTTTCATCATTCAGAGGGTAAAAGTGTTTTTTGTTTTTTGTTTTGTTTCTCGACGAACCAAATTTTAGTAATTTACATGAAAGTATAATACAACAATTATGAATATACTATTATTATATCATGGGTTAAAAATTTGTTACAGACACAAATGCATGTGTGGTAGGTCGTTCGCTTTATGATCGAGAGGCCTTGGTTCCATTCTCGTTCGCCGCGCCGAGTTAAACCTAAGAAACATAGGTGGTGAAGCACCCGGCATTAAGGAGGCTGGGGGGTCAACAAATTAACCACAAATTAACTACCAGATTTAACTTATTTTTTTTAGATATGATATCTTAAGCTGTCAACTATCATTTGGCAAAGAAAAATTTCAAAAATTTTAGTTTTAAAATTTGATCATTTTCTATATCTTCATATGGAGCTCTTCTTCTAAAGGAGATCAATATATAGTCTAAAAATGGCCACAACCCCCCAGCCTCTTTAAGGAGGTTCGATCCTGAGCTTTTGAGCAGATCTTGGCCTGGACCTTTATTTCTAAAATTCTGCATCATTTCTGAGTTCTAACATTAAATCTGGATTCTAAAATGCAAATTAAACTATATCCAATAAAAAAAAAAAACGCGATTAAATTCCATTCAAATAGGATTAAGTCAGGAACTATATTTTGTGGCGGAAGGTTTTTTAGAAGAAAATGATCAATTTTTTCCTTTTGAAATATATACAGTACTGTTAAGTTTAGATTCCTATTTTTCCATGCTGGTTGCAAACAGAGCTGTTTTTTTTTTTTTATTTGCAGTAAAATTTTTTATGCTGGTTCTGAAATATCTATCAAATTATTTCTTTTGAATTCTTTCATTATTGTGACAAATATAGTATATATATTCTGAAAGTCCAGGAAAAAATTGAGCCAATTTTAACACAAAATTAATACTTTTTTAGTAATATTTAAAAATTTGCATCATAGACCCCCACTTTTGTTTTTCTTTTCTTAATATAGAAAATAACTTTGATCAATCTGCTTAAATTCAGCAAAAGTTTAAGACTTTAAAATAATTTTCTTGCTTGCTAAATTTTTAATGCCAGAAAAATCACATTTTGTGAGTGCAGAAAGGTCAAATAATTGATTATGCGAAGCATTTTAAAAAGTTTTCTTAGTCACAATTTTAATGCATGTGTCTTTTTTTTAATAGACTAATAGTTCATTTTGCCCCATGATTTATTTGGATAAAAACATTGGAGAAAAAACGTCGAAGATGTGATTTTTGATTAAGACACAAATTTCAGTGCAAAAAGGTCATATTAAATGTACTGTAGCGCCAAAAGAAGCATATTGACCCCCATTTTTTGTTTTGATTTTTAATTAAGCTATGTGTGTAGAAACTAAAAATATACTTGACAAAAAAAGTTTAAGACTTAAATATCAGGATCCAACCTCGTTAAAAGTGAAAGTCGTGGGTCTTTCGGATGAGACTTTGAAAACTGAGGTCCCGTGTCACGATAGGCGTTGGCACGATAAAGAACCCTCACTGCTCAATGGCCCCGAGTGCCGAGTATAGTTCTACTTTGAAGCCCTTCGCCGGCATACGGTGACGTCTCTATATGATCGAATAGAACGTTATATACAACATACAATCAATAAGTTAATAATTACAATTCAGGTCTAAGAGAAATATAATTTTTTTCCTAGGGCCGATTATACTTACTTTAGTTTAAAGTCTATTTTTAAGATGGCAGCGTAAAAGTAGCGAGATATAACCCGTAGATACGTATGTAAATTCCAAACCATGTTTTTCAATCCTGACTAGATAGATCAAGCGAAACAACTCGTGCAAGTAAAAATGAAAATAAATAAATAAATAGTGCTGCATCGTAGACTACGGAAGCGTATTAGTACGGAAGCGTATTAGTGCCATTTTGACACTTTTTTTTTTTAATTTCTACACTTAAATCTGTAAAATTTACACTTTAATGTGTAAAATTTACACTTTAATCTGTAAAATTTACACTTTAATCTGTAAAATTTACACATTAAAGTGTAAAATTTACACATTAAAGTGTAAAATTTACACATTAAAGTGTAAATTTTACAGATTTAAGTGTAAAATTTACAGATAAAAGTTTGGAAAATGAAAAATAAAAGTGTCCAAGTGGCACTAATACGCTTCGGTATATTAGTGCCATTTGGACACTTTATTTTCTTTTTAATTTCCACACTTTAATCTGTAAAATTTACACTTTAATGTGTAAAATTTACACTCAATGTGTAAATTTTACACTTTAATGTGTAAGTTTTACACTTTAATCTTAAAAATTTACACTTTAATCTATAAAATTTACACTTTAATCTGTAAAATTTACACTTTAATCTGTAAATTTTACACTTTTATCAATTGATTTTACTTTTTATACTTTATTTGATATTTCACAGAAGCATGGAGCCATTACTGCGGAAACGAGGCGTTGACGAAGACACTTTAAGAGCTCTTAGGAATCAAAAGGTAAGCTATTTGACTTTGTTAATAACAATGTGATGAAATATACTTGAACGGTAGTTAAAATAAGGTGAGTTAAGTAAAAAGTTCTAATGTAAAAAATTATCTGCATTTGATATGTTTGTTAGATGTACAATATGTTTGTTAGAAGTACAATATACCGGTAACTGCACTATATGGACTTGTATATTTTTACGCTCGCAACATAAGTTGTGTACTCACAATTCTTGTTAATCTAAAAAAAATACGTGCAATAAAACTGCTACACGTAGTATTAAACTAATTAACATTAATAGATTTTATAAAAGCTACTTTTGTCCCTAAAATTTAATTCATAAGGAATCATCATGCATTTTCTACCCAAACAATAGAGAGAAAGTCAGTGCATAGTCCAAGAAATGTAAAATTCAAAATTTTAAACATGAAACTTGTTTTATTAGCTTTTTAGTAAAATTATGAGATCTTTTAATACATCATAGGCGTCGGAAGCAAATTGAAAGGGGGGGGGCTAAACCAACAAAAAAAGGTAAGCCCCAATTTTCAATGCTTATATTATGTCTATCTTTGCAAAAAGGGGGCTATGCCCCCCCCCCCCCCAACCCCCCTCCCGGTTCCGACGCCTATGTACATTCTGTTTCCTAGTTAGTGGTATAGGCTTAACATGTACATGATCTTGATTTTTTTTTCTCTTTGCCGAGGCCATTGTACCATTTGACAACGTAGATTTCCCCTATTTCCTTTAATGTTGAGTATATCCTTAGATAATAGCTTTAAGTTTTAGAAATACATGTATGAGGTATTTTGGTAATACATGTATGATGAAAATTTTATCACCAAATTATCAAGAAATGAAAAAAACCAGAGACATATTTGGAATCTATTATGATGTAGACACCGAGACACTGACGACAGTTTACATTGTTAGGACAACGCTCTCGATGACGGACGTGTGCTTATCGAAATGTTTGTTGCGTGTATTCATTGATATTTTCAAACAGATTTGCAAATTTATCGTGAGTAAAGTTTATTGAAGAATAATTTACTGAATACAATTCAGATTTTATTATGAAAATGAAACTAAAGGTATATACACGAAAAATAACGATAAACGATTTGAAACCGTACAGGCTGACATAAAGCTTATAACACGTGTTTTTTTTTTATTCTCTAGGTAAAATCGCCAAAGAACTGGATTAAATACATGTTTACATTTTAAATTAAACGATTATTATTCAACTAGTAAATGAAGTAAATAACGTTTTATTGTTATAATATACTGCCAATATTGTTAAAACTGATACGTATGCCTGTACTCCTGATGATTTACAAGGGAGGTTTCAAAATCATCGTGCATGGAGCATTAACGGATGTACAATTCCGGAAAGAAGTATACATTCCGGTGCTGTCAGGTGTAGAAAATTGTTTTTGGTCGACCTTTTTAATGCATTAATGTATGATATTTTACAAAATATATTCCTCATTGATAAACAAATGATAACTGAAAATATTCACTTATTTTGATTAAATCTCTGAATCGACGTAAAACTCCAGATGATCAATCAATCATGGACGATGAACCTCAAAATTAAGTAAATATTTTACATGCTCACAGGCTTGTGGTTTTAAAGAGTAAATATATTTATCACATATTAGATCAAAATTTTTATTTGCCTAGAGGAATGAAGTTATTGATATGTTTTATTACAGAAACAGAATACCCCCATCAATTCAATTTTTAAATTTGTATCTTATTTAATTATTTAAGCAACCACACTTCTTGTTTTATATCAAAATGCAAAATTTATACATCTGGATCTTTGTATTACATATATCTCGTTCTATAGAATAATGTTGCAAGTCTTAATAAATTTTCTACAAATGCTTCAAAAGTTAACAGCCCTCTGAGATCTTTCGAACATGCAGATAGTCAGGGGAAAAAACCCTCTTATACCTATACCAAACCCTCGTGATTCTTTTAATGTAAAACAAGAAATAAACTTTGTCAAACAATCTTTCATTGCAAAGTTCTACAGAGCCGTATGGACTGAGGTCTGTACCTTGTACAGTCAAGCGTGTTAACCATCGAACAGGACTCCATAATTCTCAAATCTCAATACGACATTTTACAGTTCATTAGAACAAACAGGATTGACTCAGCAGTTTATTTCTCCGCAGTTTCTGATACGTTGACGTTAAAACAGATATTTTTGTTTTTTAAAATTAATTTCATATTCATTATCATACATACATGTATATAAATATTTTTTTAACTGGATAAAAAAGTCCAAAGCTCACCTCGAAGGTCGATAAATGCATACTTGTGACACAAGGAAATACTAGTATTGGGGGAAGGGGTGTGTGTGTGTGTTATATATATATGTACATCATAGTACATACGTTATTACGGATAAATTTGCGGTTAAATATAATTCTTCTGCATTAAAATGTCTCGCAAAGTGTAAAGAGATACAAAATTATTTGCATTAAAAAAAATCATAATTTGAAATTTCAGTGACATTTTCTTAATACAAAGAAGCGACAATTTGTGTATTGAATAGCCCTCGGCTGGTTGCACACACACACACACGAGTTGTTCTGTCATGAACTTATAACAATATATACTACAATATATAGCGTTGACTTTATATCAATTTGTAACTGGTGCATAGATAATAGATAACAGGTAACGACTCCGGAATTAATTCAGTCATCCATCAAGTTTTTTTTTAATGTCTAGTGATTTCTGGATTTAGACTATGCACTCATTTCTAAATAGGGAATTATAGTCACTGTGGTAGATTTACAAGAAACATGCAAAAGAAACAATTCTTTGATGACTATAATTTGTCAAAACTACATGTACGCCATGAGCAATAAAATCAAAGATTATTGTACAGCACCCTGACTGATCTTCATATCAGTATCTGTCCTTCTGGAAGTCTTTAAATACATGTAGGTTGATTAATACAATACCTTGAATAAAAATGAGGAAGGGGCAAATTAAATGGAATGATTAATGCAGATTATTTAAAAGCACATCATATCCATGTACATGTACACACCACTCTCAGCTGCAAAGCACGAGTACTTAAAAAAAATAAATAAACTTTATATATAAACAAAAAAAAAACCATTTCAGGTGCCTGTCAGGGGCGGTGTATATTTCTTCTATTTGTATGTAAGAGACGGTACGTGATACATGAACTAGATCTCGAACAATCAATCAACATAAATTCACGGAACATCAATCATGGAAATACTAGTACTTTGTTGATTTTCAAAGATAACTGCTTTTTCGAAATCAAATTTTTTTTTTAAAGATCAAGAATAATCAATTTTTTTTTCAAAAAGAAGACATTTCAACAGTTTATTATTGTCAGAATTTGCATAATTTTATTTTAACTTGTAGACAAATTCGATTTCTGCGCATTTGGTTGTGTATGGGTCCTACGCAAAACAAAGTAGAAATACATTATAAAAATGCACTTTACTAACAGAGATGTTTTGTTTTATCATAACTGAAGGAATTTGAAGATGATAACTTATTAATTGAAATACATTGTAAAAGAACAAATTTTAGAGCTTGATATAAGTATCAATAAAAAATAATTTTCAACAAAAAGAAAGGTACCTAAATATATTATTTGATCTATAATACAACACTACGTTGTCATCTCTTATTTTTTTCTTTAGCATGACTGCACAGTTATGGGAAAACTACATAAAAATATATATACTTAGAAAACATTTCATGATTTTTTTGTATATTTATTAATTTCCACTTACAATAATTTTTCAGAGTTCATAATTTGACTTTATGTAGAAATCAATTTAATGTATATCCAATTAACTGATTTTAGTCTTGACGTCACCACATCGTGTCCAGTAAAGTAGGAGGGTTTACGTACAATATTGTGACAAACGATGTCAACATTTCCTTATTATGAAAACACAATACCCCATGATTCGTCTGAATTCAGTTTACGCACTGGAACGGTTTGAAACATGACCAGGATACGATCAAGATGAGGATTTATTTTTTTTAATTGATGCTTTTTACATGCATAGAGCAATCTTACACTTTATAGAAAGAAAAAAGCATGTATCATAATTGAAATTAATTATGCAGTGAGATAAAATACTAATTAAACAAAGAATCTCATTATGCTTGTAATTAAAGTAAAAAAAAAACCCAGTTTATGGCAACAAACTGGAGAGTTAATAATGCTGAACATGTTTAATCAGTCGTTATCATACACGCATACGTTAATGCCATGTGCAAGAAAACACCAAGCTAAAAGAAAGGTATCTTACTTTTTGTACATGAAAAAAATATTGCATATGATTACACACCGGGACCTGCATGACTAGATATCAAGAATTGCACATTCATAATAACATATCTTACAACGAACCTTATCAAATTTTAAAGAAGAGTTCACTATTACAATGTAAGAATGCGTAGGAATACATCAAAAAAGAACATGGGTTGCATATTTTCTTGTACTCTGGACGGATCACAGCTATTATTAGCCAAAGAAACAGTCCTGTACCTAATAAAGAAGAAAAATATGAGAAACCCGTCAAACCTAAACATGTCAACATTTCATAATGTACAACCGAAATATTGTATTTCTGAGGGGAAAAAAAAATGTCGGATACAAAAAAAAAGTTGAAGATAATGAAAAGCGATCGATCTAAAAAAAAAAAAATACAAATCTGTGAATAAGGCACAAAACTATTGGGATCAGGCGCCCATGAGGAGCAAGCATCCCATGTCGACCGGTAACACAAACCATGCTTGAGCCCTATGCATTGATCTGCGGTCAAATTTAGTATAAAAACAAAGCCCCTAACAATCGGTATGAACTATATCAGCCAAAATACGACCCAATGATAAGTTATAATTGCTAACAAGGTCATTATTTACTAAATGCTAAACATTCAATTTTTTCCTACATGTATTTTGTTTATGGAATATTTTGCATGATTCTATATTCGTTCATGAAAGTTATTCATAATAACATTTCTTTCATTCATCATTTTGATCACATCTTCTTCATTCACTTTGTCATCTTCTTTATTTCCTTTGTCATCATATCCTGGATTAATTTGAGCAAGTTTTGGATTTCGGACTGCTTTCCCCTTGTACGACAATGAGTAAAGCAATCTGTCAAAGAAGATTTTATCATCCCTTCTTATGTAAGTGAATGTTTTCATGCATCTCTTTAGATCGTTTGGGAGATCCTTATCTGGAATGTCTTCCAGTAAGATGATGATGAGATGTCGTTTTCTTTCAACAATGCTTTGCTGAAAAGCTTCTTGAAACTCCCATAAGCAAAAATGACTTTTAAGAAAATTTTCTGAGAGGACAATGACAGTATGACGACTATTCTCAATACATTTAACGATGTTTTCAAAAATAGTTTTTCCTGGAATGAAATCCTTGTGGTGCATGCAAAACTTCAAATGTACAAGACGGTCGTGTTTGTTTTCGTCAAAAATACTGCACACCCACTCTTGGTCATCGTTACTATAGGAAACAAAGGCATCAAATTCTTTATGCTCGTATATCTCAGCTGGCTGACACGGAAGCACTACATTGAACCTGGTGTAAACCAAAATTCGGATTTCCCTTCGATACTTAAGTATAACAACAATGCAAATGATGAGAATAAACGACAGGACACTCAAAGCCACAGTGACTGGCATTAACTCGAATTTACAGTTAATGTCCCTAAGTGTTAGATCCGCCAGACGCCAACCCCGAACATTTTCAGGAGTTTCACACCTAAGATCCCTAAAGTATGCATACCTTTTGTACTTTGCCGAACTCCAGTCTGTGTCTTGAATGTATTTCAGAACTTCTTTCATTTCATCTGTGCAGGTGCAGTTGAACGGGTTGCTAGTTATCTTCACAAATATCTTCTTGTTGCGGATGATTCTTTCAAAATTACGGACAGTGAGCCGACTGATATTGTTAAAAGTAAAATCAAATATTAAGTTAGGTATGTGTTGTCCCCATATTCCATCATTATTTATTGGAAACAGAATATCCTGAATAAGGTTGTAGGACATATCAAGGTACTCCAATTTTTCGAAGTAAATCCACCAGTTTTTGAATTGCTCTGGTATGTAATTAATGAAAGAATGAGATATATTAAAAACTTTCAATTCTGGAAACTGATTCTGTTCCGTCAACATTGCAGCATAATACCTAGCTTTTGAAGATGTTACAGAATTTTCGAGTACTTGCAGTTTCTTGAATACACACTTGTGTGGAGACAGTCTTGTGTCTATAATGTTTCCTGTAGCGATTCTGCTAAAGAGAGTTAAATCCAGTTCTGGTACATCTTGAATAAATGAGAAGGTTTCATTCCTTTCTATCTTAATTTTCAATGTTTCTTCGTCACCACAAATTACGTTTTTCGGCAGCGTCTCAGACTTTATCTGAAGGTTCCTCTCTATTTGCTTTATTGAAAGTAATCGTTGTACATTGATTATTGCATATTCCTCCAGTTCGTCTGGATAACTGTCTAAATCAGGATTCTGAAAGTCTGCAAAGTAGTCGACCGCGACACAGTCGTGAACATAAAGTTTGATAATATTTCTTGCTTTCGCAGACAAGGGAAGAGATATTGTAGCACCATTTTGACAACGTACATCAAAGCCATACTTAATATCCTTTGTCAAAATATGCTGCCTTAGTACTGAAAAATTCCATTTCCCAGAGAAAGACGTGTTGATAAAACAGGTGTAGTGATGCACTGTTTGATTGGTACCCCTTTCCTGCAAAATGCAAAATTCCTCCCAGTGGGGTGGAAGATAAGAAGCTGGTGCGACGGGAGTATCGTTTGTCCAATTGAATTCATTAGATTCTGCTCCAGTTGAAGTAATTGATGTGGTGCTGGCAGAAGGAACTGTTGAAGTCTCGTGTAATTCTCGCAGATAGCCCTCAGATGTGATTGTTTGTTCAAAGTTCATTAAACAAATAAAAAGATAAACATATCGAACTGTTTTTAAGATGTCCATATTCATCGTGTCTCACATTGAAAGTTCGTCCGCCTCATTAGTTTAAAATAATTTACGTCATATTTCAGATTTGATTTTTTAAGACAGCTGGTTTTCGAGCACTTGTTTCCAACATGTCCTCTTAATATTTGTTCAAAATGTGAACAGGAAACGTCTTTATTTATTGTAATGAATTCAGTCCTCGCTTCGCTAAACCCCATCACTGACACAGCATGGTTATTTAATTAGATATTGCATTATCTGTTGTTATTCAGATTACAGGTAACATGTTAAAAAGTGACGTAAAACAAAATGATTATTTCATTTTCATGGCCAAAACTTACATGGGGGCAACTAAGTAATGAAAATGCTATCTCTCTCTCCCTCTCTCTTTCTCTTCCATTGAACATAATTAGTGAAGAAACTAATGCTTATATGGACCAAAAATCACTGAAGACAACAATAAATGTGGTGAGAACATTAATGATGTCAAATATAAGATAAGTATCGTAAACTTGGATATTAAAAATTATCTATAAATCTAGAAAAAATTACACTACAAAAATGTATTTAAAAAAATAACTGGAACTGACCCTCTAACATTTTACCACGCAGTTGTCAAGCTATTAAGACTATGTGCTTTGTCTCCTTGAAAGTATTTCTAAAATAATATGCAAACCAATAAAAAATGTTTTTATTTAATGTGGTGACATATGCTATGCTTTGATCTTGAAATATGTACAGTTTCACTCAAAGTATTGGGAAATCTATCATCTGGATTCAAATTTACTCAGCAACCTTGTTAAAAATCAGCATTTCGTAAATATGAGGTCATTATTATCCCCTTATTAGCAAATATAACTTATCATTGGTCGTATTTGGCTGACGTTTTTCGTACTAATTGTTAGGCCTTTGTTTCTATACTAAATTTGATTACGGAGTTTCGTCAACCGCTCTCGGCAGGTGCGACCGATGACAGGGGTGCTTACTCCTCCTAAGCACCTGATCCCACCTCCAGAATTTCCGGGGGTCCATGTTTTATGTCCTTTTCACAGATTTGTATTGTTTGTAGATTTTTTGAAGATCGATCACTGTTTGTTATCATTATATCTCCACATTGCTGTAAAGGATGACTGCACTTAAGGAAATGCGGAATTTGCGACAAAATAAACTTTCAAAACAAGCATTTTTCTTTTCATTGCAAGAATGGTCAACATCCAATCTACAACTTTATGTAATTACGTTTAATAAAAGTGTGTATTTACGAAGTTCGAAGCTGTTTTCAAAGGCAGGGGTCATCACAATTTCTTGAATCTCCGTTCGATAATGAGGACGCCCACTTATTTACTGACTTTATACATAGTCAGCGTATGTTTGTCTATTTTTCTACGTTTAACAGTAGTTGTATATTTGCATAAATAATAATGTGTCAAAAGGAGATTAATAGACAAACATGCGCTCATGGTTAAAAAGAGAAAAAACTGCTTCTTCTTACATTCGCTCTCTGTGTTGTAACCAAGGATTGTGACATGTTGAATATTATAATTCACCACGTGATTTCTTACCTCAGGTAACTTTGTGAATACTAAATTCCGTCACGTGACTTGTAAGGAAGCATGTGATGTGCTAACTAGGACATTGTGTTCGAACACGTTAAGTCATCTGGCATTGATATAAATTTGCTTTAATTACATTGATGTGCTCATATTGTTAATTTCGTTTTGAAACCTTTGTCAGAAGTGTATTTGTGCTATACAGAATGGAGAGGGAGATTGGAAAGAGTGATCACGTTCGCTTTTCAAAACATGTCATTGTTATTTATGTAGTCTAATTTTAGAGCCATTCTTACAATATTAGCTCCACCTCTCATGCATATCTAATGTTCAATCAAGGGCAGGTAAGTGTAAATTCACTATATTTGGAAAGCAGTAAGGACAAAGAACATTGAATCATTTTATTGTATCACAGTCTAAAATCATTTTAAGATTTAAATGTGGTTCCAAATTGACAGTATTCTTTCATAAACATACAAAAGTGAGATAAGGTTTAGATATAAAAGCAACAGAAGCAACCGAAAAGGACCCAAAAACAGGCGTTAAGTGCAGTCATCCTTTAGTAATATTTTCATGTAAAGGTTTTGAAAAATAAGGGATTTTTTTTTTATCAACCAGACACTTAAAAACACAGCTCTGATATAGCAATGCGTTAATGCTAATCAATGCAGGTTTTTCCCATTGGAATTGGTAATAGTACAATATCAGATTTTAAAAAAAGTCTGTTACTTTATGTTTAAACAGTAAAAATACAGGTACTACTGAATATCATACACTTATTCTCTCTTGTGTCTAACCCTCATTATCTTGTTAAAACGACGTCAATGAATACTTACAGTTTTCTTTTGAATTGGAAATATTTCACATGAAATAATACGGTTGGTTTCGATTAAAACAAATTTTGAAAGACGTTAAACAACGCTTTTATCCAAAATTCAAAGTAACTCAATCCTATTCTGGATGCTGCGACTATCGTTTATGATTTTCAAAATCTGATACAAGAAAATTTAGCGGATTATAATATAAAAGAAACTACTCTGTAAAGTCTTTTATACATAATTTTCAGAAGGGAGGTCTTAATATTTAAACGAAAATTACATGTATTATTCTATAACTTAACGAATTATTATTTTGTCAAGGGTTTCTGTTTTTTATACAATTATGTTGATCCGGTCATTCGTCATATTGACCCTATCCTTTTCATTTGCATTTTTACCTTACTCGCCGAGGTTATCATATCCATGATTCAAATGCGCATGATCTTGGTGTTTCCCTATTTTCCCTTTGTATGAGAGTGAGTAGAGTAGTCGGTCTACGAAGATTTTATCGTCTTTTTTAATGTAAGTGAATGTTTTCATGCATCTCTTTAGATCGTTTGGGAGATCCTTATCTGGAATGTCTTCCAGTAAGATGATAATGAGGTGTCGTTTTCTTTCAACAATACTTTGCTGAAAAGCCTCCTGAAATTCCCACAAGCAAAAATGGCTGTTAAGAAAGTTCTGTGAGAGGACAATGACAGTATGTCTACTTTCCTCAATGCATTTGACGATGTTCTCAAAAATAGTTTTTCCTGGAACGAAATCCTTATGATGCATGCAAAACTTCAAATGTACGAGACGGTTGTGTTTGTTTTCATCAAAAATATTGCACACCCACTCTTGGTCATCGTTACTATAGGAAACAAAAGCATCAAATGCTTTATCCTCGTAAATTTCTCCTGGCTGACACGGAAGCACTACATTGAACCTGGTGTAAACCAAAATTCGGATTTCCCTTCGATACTTCAATATAACAATAATGAAAATTATAAGGAAAAACGATAGGACACTCAAAGCCACAGTGACTGGCATCAACTCGAATTTACAGTTAATGTCCCTAAGTGTTAGATCCGCCAAACGCCAACCCCGAACACTTTCGGGATATGCACACTTAAGATTCCTAAGGTATGAGTATTGGTGGTACTTTGATGAGCTCCAATCTATTCCTTTGATATATTTCAAAATTTCTTTCATTTCATCTGTGCAGGTACAATTGATAGGATTATGGCCCATTTTCACTAATATTTTCTCGTTGGAAATGATTCTTTCAAAATTACGAACAGAAATTCGACTTATGTTGTTGTGTGTAAAATCAAATGTTAAGACTGGTACCGTTTTGTCCCATATTCTGTCATTATCCAATGGGAAGGTTATATCCTGAATGAGATTGTGAGACATATCGAGGTACTCTAACTTTTTAAAGTAAATCCACCAGTTTTTTAACTGTTCTGGTATGTAATAAAGGTCAGAGTGGGACATATTCAACACTCTCAGTTCCGGAAATATATTCTGTTCAGTCAATTCTGATGCATAGTACCTATTTTTCGTTGAAGTGACTGAAACGTTAAGAACCCGAAGCTTTTTATAGAAACACTTGTGTGGTGACACCCTTTTATCCATTATATTTTCTGCAGCAATTTTGCTGAACATTTCAGAAGCCTGGTCTGGGTTAATTAAATCATGAATAAATTGAAAGGTTTCATTTTGCTCAGTCTTTATTTTTAACGTTTCATCATCGCCACAAACAACATTTTTGGGAAGATTTGCTGACTTGATTTGAAGACTCTCGAACATTGATTTAACTCCTATTACACGCACGACATTGATCAAAACATATTCTTCCAGTTCATCTGGTAACAGATCTAAATCTGGGTTCTTATAGTCAGCATAATAGTCTTCCGCTATGCAGTCTTGCACGTGCAATTTGATGATATTCTTTGCTTTTCCAGGCAATGGAAGAGATATTTTAGCACCGTTTTGGCATCGTACGTTAAAACTGTATTTAACATCTTTTGTTTTAATATATTGTCGTAGTTCAGAGAAATTCCATTTACCCGAGGAGAAGGCATCTATGTAACAATTGTAAGGATAAACGCTCTGATTTGTCTCCGTTTCCTCCAAAGTGCAGAATTCCTCCCAAGAAGGTGGAAGTAAAGGGCTTTCTGTATCTGAACCATTAAAAGCTGTTCCATCAATCTGATTCAGAATGAAGGAAGAATTCTTTCCATTGCTGACAAGTGGTACCGTCGAATTGTCATTTAACCGTGACTGGGACCGCCCAGTTGTGGTTAATTTTGAAATTATTATTAAATACATTGATAGAGTTGAGAAGACAATTGATCTCAGTATTCCCATGTTCGGATATTACACATCGAATATGGAAGTAGATCAAAATCCGTTGGAAAGAATTTGGAATGGCAATGTCTTCAACACACTTCGAGACATAATTTGAGGTACCAATCGTCTGCATTCGAAGGAAAACGTGGCATTCTCCTTCGGCTCTTCAAGGGAACGTATATATTTGGACTTGTGCAGGAAATGTCCTTCTAGAGAGTAATTAGGCTGTAGTAACGCTTGAATGATTTTATATAAAAACATTTTAATATTTTTTAATCATTATTTAAGACACGATCATCACCTACTTGAAAATTACCAAGATAAATGAAGTATGAGTTGTTTTTATAATTAATGCTCTGTTCAACAGTGGACATGTAGAGTGGTGACAAAATAGACACAGATTTGCATTAAAAGTCTTAAAGATCTAAGAATAAATATTTTAAAATATTATAATTATCAAAAATAAGATTTGTTGAATGAATGGAAAATTAGAAACAGTTATTTTAAATTATGCATTAAAATATTTGTTGTGTTTCTTTCTTTCATCAAATTGGTGAAGATCCACTAAGTAAAATAAGATTATGTTTTCCTTCAACCGTGAATGTGGATGCTGCATTGATATCATTATAATATTATTATAGCTGATAAAATTGAGAATCAAAGAACCGAATTGATAACCGTTTCAAATCCTCAAAAGACAAAACTCAAAATTATATTTACAAATGTATTAATAAATTGACCATTTGAGGATATACTAATGTAAAAGGCAAAGGTAGAAATTATTTATGAAGACAAAAATGGTCCACATCTACCACTGACAATCCAAACAAAATGGTCCATATCTACCACTGACAATCCAAACAAAAATGTTCCACATCTACCTCTGACAATCCAAACAAAAATGGTCCACATCTACCAAAAACAATCCAAACAAAAATGGTCCACATCTACCAATGACAATCCAAACAAAATGGTCCATATCTGCCAATGACAATCCAAACAAAAATGGTCAACATCTACCACTGACAATCCAAACAAAAATGGTCCACATCTACCACTGACAATCCAAACAAAAATGGTCCACATTTACCACAGACAATCCAAACAAAAACGGGAATCTGATAATTGAGTTCCATATGCACTCGCGATAGATTGCATATCATTTTACTCAAACGATATTGTTTAATTTGTTTAAAAAATCATGATAGTTAAGATAACAGGCGGAAAGTCCACAATCACATCTCTGTATCTTTGAATGTAATGAACTTTGAATAATTTCCATATGTTGAATACGGCATACCGATTTCTATCCGCAGTATAATTTTATTTTATAATTCAAATCATATACCCTTGGTCTAGCTGAGTTAATACTAGTTGTATTTTGAAGTAACTTTTTGAACAAGTTTTGCACAGAAATGTATGAAGAATTAATTTTAAAAATATCTCAAAAACAGCAGGCCAGACAGTCAAATTAATTTGCAAGTACAGTGAAGATCCATGTTTGTTCAAGTGATGACTCCATGGATAAAGTACTGGTATAATACAGCTTGTTTGGTGTTACAGTTTTACATACAGTGATGCCATTGAAGTGGTAATTTTTTTCGTTTGAATATAACGTTTGGGTCTTTCTTATCGAACGTCAATTGTAACATGATGCACGCCACTGTCTGGGACCACCAACGCGAGTTTTTTGCTAAAAAAGGAGGCACCCGAGATTCGGAGAGAGTGAGAGACCCCCCGCTTCTGCCAGTAAAACTCGCATATTGCAACGAATATATACATAATTCTGACTTTATCATTTTTATTGAAGTTATCACAACACATGTATCTGAACTCTACAGGTTCTATACCTGTTCTACAGGAATTTGAATGGGTTTTTTCCTTTCTGGAGAAATGGGCTTGTCATAATGTGACAATCAAAGTTCAAAGGAAAGCCCAAAAACGTTCCATTCAAACGGACAATTTTACCACTTCAATGTGCGTCATTGAAGAAATATATCGTATTTCTCAACATTCTACATGTAAACTATGATGAAACAAATAAAATAACTGTAGAGTAAAATTGTCGAAGATGTTCCATCTGTTAAGTGTATTGAATTTGGGATTAAATTGCACATTCATTTGTGAGGGAAATAAATGTAATTTGGATGAGCATTTTAGCCCTAGGCGCCATGTAAATTACCTATACTAAAACAACGAACATAGAAACACAACTCGTTTCATTATGATTACAATGCTAACATCATACAAATATTGCTCAAGAGACACATTGAAACAAGAATGGGAAAATAAAATAAAAAAGAATTTTTGCATGGCTCAGGCAAATTTTCGATTCTGGATGACATTATACAAATATGGACTTCAGTGTAGGTCGATATGTGGTTATATGGTCCCATGTCAAGTGATAATGACCGAAGACACAGAAAGTGATAGAGACCGAGCTTGCACTTTCACAAACTAAACTTTATCCTTAATACTTCAGAAAAGTAGAAATTTTGTTGTGTAATAGTGAAAAATATTAAAACTATAATCCAGAAAATTCACAGTAGAAACGTGATAAAACAAAACTAACTCACCAGTATTTTAGTCCTGCTCAGTGATGTGTGAGAGTTTAAGTTGAAAAACACATTGAACACACCCTGTGAAATGTAAACATTAACAATGACAGAGATCGTGCCCTGTTTACAAAAACAGATGGTTGACCTGATGTAAAGAAGAATGTCGTCAATTGAATTCTAAGAATATTCATGTAAGTTCAATTCATATAACATAAGCATAAAAAATAAAATGTAAACAATGCAACTGTGGCCAGGCCCCTTTAATTGATTCCACAGTATTCTTTTGCTACTTCAGCAACAAAACATTCCCCAAAATTGTTGTTAAAGCTCTCCTGGACACTTATTTGAGACAATAATAATTGCCACCATCTCCCAATACACTATTATGAAATTACTACAAGAAAAAAACCCCTATTATTTTTAATATAATTTGATGTGATGTCTAAATCTAGTTTACATGGTACTTTTCCCCCAATGCAGTCTGATGATATGCTTTGGTTTTCCTGGAAATGGAAGTATATGGTATCTCCGAATTTCAGACTGCACTTTGCAAATGACAACACTGTGCTCGCTGTTAATGATCCAGTATGAAATAGCTTCATATGTCCTTGATTTTTCTTTCTCTTTTTTTAACGGTGGGTGGGTGAGCGGAAATGATAATTATAGGCAACGATAAGGTTGAAAATCGTAAAGGCAGTTATCTTCTTCAATGATTTATCATGAATAGTAACCAGGCTCCAATATCAATAAAACGATACAAATTAAGAGCAGAACAAACTTTGGACCCCTGAAAACATCAAAGATGGGATCAAGTGCCATGGATAATTAATGCATCTCCTGTCGACTGATCACATCCGTATAGTTCTCAAGCTCTCTAACGAATGAGGGAAAGCGAGGCATGACCTGCTTAAGAAATCCTCCATGAGTGACATAACATCCTCTATCTGAAGAACAACAGGCCACATCTAATTAAATTAATTTGTAAGCACAATATCTTGTGAAGATTCGCAAATATTCAAATTATTAGTCAGAGGGCAAGGTACGTCGTATCACAGTAAGGGGTTATAGTTTTAATTTGTTTCATGTTCAACAACAAGATTATGATTTAAAAACATGATAGAGATAAGTTAATTGTAGCTTAAATTGTCGAAAAAGTGTGATACATTTATTGCAACGAATTTTGGTTTTAATTGTACATTCATTTCGAAAGGGAAATAAATGAGACTCGCTTGAACACTTTGGCCCTAAGCTTCGTGTTTCATTGATTTTGTAAACGCTACAACTTAAGCAAAGAAAGACAACACCTCTTATTATGAATTCTTTGCTAACACGATGCATATATGATTTGTCGGGTTCACTGACGAAGAGGTTGATTGAGTGCTACGGAAGCCCAATAGTGCATATCAAAAAAAAAAACAAAAACAAAAACAAAAAAAAACAAAACAAAACAAAACAAAAACAAAACAAAAAAAAAAAAAAAACAAAAAAAAAAAAACACGGAAATACTAAATAAAAAAACGAAATTACAAAATAAAAAACTGAAACTAAATAAAAAACGAAAATATAAATAAATAAATAAATAAATAAAAACTTACTTTGGTTGACTGGAATGTTAAAGTATTAAAGATCGACTGAATTGTGATTTTGAAGAATTTTATCCTTAGAAATTAAAGTGATAAGGTATATCAACAGCTTGGGAATATATGTAGGAAATGCAGGGTGTAACTTCAACTTGAAATATTGTAGAATGTAAAACTGAACTTTTTTATGATTAAGTATGTAACTAATGTTTAGGCTATTCCTTTGCTTGCAAATTTAGGTTCAAGAAACCGACATGTTGAATAAGAATTATTATCTTCCGTCACGTGTGTTGGCTTAAAGAGCCTGTGCTGGGCAACATCCATAATAATAAACACTAGCTTGTATTCTGCAGTTGAAGAATCCAAGTATGAACTTGATTTAGCTTCTTCAAAAAGTCCATTCCAAAATTTCAAGGGAACTGAGTAAAGTTTAGTGCAAATGAAATGAAGATCTTATTACTTATTTAATTATTTTAATTACTGACGTAAGGTAAAAAATGAATAAAAAAAAACATCAAGTATATTTGTATGATCGATGTCTATGATTACGCCTACGTCTAGGTGTATTGTTAAAAGTTCCCATCACATTCATATTGGCACATTGTGAGCTTGAAAATTCCTTACATTATTTAGGTGGTCTTTGCAACCACTCGGAAAGGCCGTACCTAGTTTCCTGATCTAGTATTCCTCTCTTTGTCTAAAGAATGGAGTACTTAAAGTGAGACTACTACTTTGACGATATATTATTCTAAATTCTAATCCTCATTGAAAGAACAGATTGGACAGGCAAATTGAAATGTTTATACAAATGTTGATGGCACACCTTTTTTATTTCAAACTTATGTCCCAACATTCTCTTATTGATTGATAGATTGTATAT